ATATATATATATATAACACTTATACTAATGATTTATAAAAAAATTTTAATAGTGTCACATAAGGATAAAATATCACATACTGTTGTGAGTACTACTTCAGATACTCACATAACCTTCTAATATATAAGAAGTTAAAAAGGGTTACATAATGATAGAAACTAAAATCATAATTTCAAATTTTAGAGGGATTAAAAATAACTTTTTTAAAAGGGTCAAAATTAAAACATGCTCATTTTTCAATGAATAAAAATATATTTGAATCTAACTTCTTTTTTTTTTCTCCAGTTTTTCTTTAAATTAAGTTTTAATAAGATTTTAAAAGATTATAAATAATTAAAATAACCTTATAACAATTTAAATTATATATTATATAATTTAAATTAATAATATATTTATATATACTTCAAATATTTGAGTTTTAATTATAATATAATTTATATATTATTATTCAATTCAATTTAGTATTTAATTATATAATTATATAATATAAACATGTATTCTTTGGAATACATATACTAGTATTAGTTATCCCTTCTTTTCCAAAATAATTCTGTTGAGGAATTGCATTTTTTATGATAATAAAAGAAGGAAAGGTGACACGAAAGTGAAAAAAGAAAATATAAAATGTTTGTTTTTTGGTAGAGAAAAATGCTTTTCTAAAACTAAATAACCCCAAATGTTTTTAATTGGATAGGATTAATTATGATCTTATTCAAAAAAAAAAATATATATATATATATATATATAGCTTAAATATGTTTAAACTACCTCGAATTAGGTTGATTTTCGGATTATTACTTTTTAAATTTTTTTTGTTTAAATTACTTGACTAATATTTTTTTCAATTTAGTACATGACGTTAGTCTCCGTCTATTAAATGATGATGTGGCTAACGGACTGTTATGTCATCACCCAGCAGTGTATGCCATGTCAACACACATCTCCACCTCATTCTGTACGTTTTCTTTCCACGTCAGATTTGAAATTAAAAAAAAAAATTGTTTCGTGCATAGGTTGGAAACGCGCATTCTTTGTTGTTCTTTGTTCCTTGCGTTTGAAGTTTGAAGCATCGTTCTTCATTGACCATTTGTGGAGGAGAAGAATTAAAGAGGTGATATTTTGTAGCCATAAATAGAGGTAGTTGTTGTCGTTGTTGAAGCACTGCCAAAGTTGTTCTGGATGAAGCCCTTGTCATTCTTCGTCTGTGTTAAAGGTAAGTCGTTGCTTAGAATATTAGGGTTTACAATTTGATAGGCTTTAATTACTCTTTTGATGAGGTTTTTTTGACTCAGAGATTTGGTTCCTTTGTAGTTGTGTTAATGGGTTTCAATTTGAAACTTCATCACGGGGGTTGTTTCGAGTTAGACCCTGTGATGGATTATGTTGGGGGCAGCGAGCTAGTGCATGTGAAGAATATGGATACAGATAGGTGGTCCTATTTTGAAGCCGTGAGAATTGTAAAAGAAGACTTGGCATATGGAGAGCATTATTTTAGGCTATGGTGGAAATTTGGTACTTCTGATTTTAAAGAGATAAATTGTGATAGTGTTGCATTAGACATTGCAAACTTTGCAATTACTGACAATGTGAAAGTGGAAATGTTTGCAA